ATACAAACCCATACTTTAAAATTTTCAGTTTTATATGTTAATCATGCAATTATTAAGCCCAAAATACAACTAAGACTCTTTATTTTATGCAGACTAGCTAGAGACTAGGAGCAATGTTTATTTATTTATTTTGTTGGGACCTTTTCCTTTTGTTACAAAAGGGATCTTATCCACTAATTAAGGTCTTCTAATTTTGGTGGCTGATGCAATACAAGTTTGAAAGTAGAAGATGATGACCCACATTCATATCAAACTAATGGATGCTGTTTCACATAATAAAACTATAATGTCAATCAAAACTTTGGCATTTTTCATCAGGGGCACTTACTTTTGTTTGTAATTTGTAAAGTTAAAGATGGCCCTCTGTTTTTTGATCTTTTATTGTGGACAGCAGTGGGAATCTCTATGCTTTCTCAGGCAGGTCTAAGGCTCAACCCCTTCCTATTTTGTAGGTTAGTTATATACACATATAATAGTTATGTAATATATGAATAAAATATATATTGAATTATGTGTCCCCTTGAGTAAATATAACTAATTATTTCACTTTTTTTTGTTTTTGTTTTTTAGTGTCTCTAATTCCACTTTTTGGGTTTCTATGTGGTCCCTATAGTTTTTGTAATTTGAAGGTCAACAACAATCCAGTCTAGGATATTAACATAGGAAAAGTTAAACATCATTTTGAATATAAGATCCTTCATTAAGTTTTTACCAACCAGATCATCACCCAATTGGAACTTATTAACTCAAGTTTGGTATCTTGATTAACATTAAAAAAAATAGAAAAAAAAATATTATTAAGCTTATTAAGCTTATTATCATTTAAAAAAAAAAAAAACCTAAAAAAAGCTAGTACCGATTTTAAATTTCAGGCCATTGTCTCTAGAAGCCCAAGACCTGCACGTGTTTTGGATTCGGCCCAAACTAAGCTCAGTTCATATGGAAAATTGGTACTACTCTCTCCCTTCATTTTTAATGGTCATCATTTTACTTTTTTTATATAAAAAAATTAATATAAAATTTAATATATTTTTTATTAAATAAAAATATTAGACAAAAATTTCATATAAAAAACTTTTTAATTATGATTTATATACATTTTAAATTTTATTTAAAATTTATATTTAAAAAATTAAATTAAAAACACTAAAAATCAACATATGAGTAATTTTTATTTTACTATCATATTGTTTTAAACCTTCTTTTTAGCAAAATGTACAAATTATCTCTCAAAATCATCACATAAAAATAAATTATCACTTAAAAAAATATTAACATAACTTGTCAATCTATTTTTCTTTTTTTTAAGAAATCACTCAAATTTAATGGTTGTCATTAAATTTCATAAAATTGTTATTCTTAAAATTTAATAAAAAATTAATAATAATTATTGAATTTAAATTAATTTCTTAAAAATAAAAAATTTAAATACCAAATTACATATTTTATTAATATTATTTTAAAAAACAATTTACCAAAACCTTTCACCCATATGACCGATATGACCACGTTTCTTATTGAGGAGTAAGTGAGGACATCCTTAATGATCTTGAGTCCTAAGCTCAACATTTCTCCATTCTCTTAATGCAGATATTAATACTACCAATATAATTTTTACTTAAAAAAAAAAAAGAAACAATTTATCTTAAGGCAATAATTTTGAGGGAAACATGCACGTTTACCTTCTTTTCACCGTTGCGGGGGAGGATATAGTCACAACCTATTCATAGCCGCGTAGCGTAGAGAAATTGGCCCTCCGGGCAGGTTGAATCGGTCAAAGCATAGAAACCAAGTAGAAATTTCCTTAGGAGTGGTGCTTAAAGAACCGGTCCAAGATGGCAGTCAGAAAACCGCCATAGCTTCTTCTTCTTCCGTCCTCCGTGCTTTTCTCTCTCACAGCACAGCATCAAATGAGGTATGTCCGTGCTACCCCACAACTCCGTCTTCATCGTTTCATATTTCTTTGAAATTGCAAGTCGAGTTTCTCTCTGCTTGTTTGTGTTGGTCATCACAAACGATGTTACTTCCTGTGTCATGTGTCTTAGAATGGATTGTGTTGGTTGTTTGTGTGTTTTCTGTGGATAATGAAAGTGGGTCTAGCTAGAGAACGAACCAGAAATCTATTTTGATATGTTGTTTTGTGTATGCAGATTTTTCTGTTTGTAAAATGTCTTCATAGACTTGGTTTTGGTAGGCACCCAGAAAATGGGGGTTGGGCTTATTGACGTTGTTTAGTATTTTAGATTTTGGTATAAAGGGATAGATCATTTTAAACCAATTTCAGATTTGTGGACCATTTCATAAAAGTTAGACCAAGCACTTTTCCCAAATAGTTGGTCCTTGGAGTAGAGAAGATCCTATATTCCTTAGCAGCACCTGTCTTTAGTAGTATATATACCATGGTACTCGAGAAACTACTGATTCTGTAGATGCAAGTCCTTTTTGGCTCTTACCCATCTTTGGTATGAACTCAGCAGGATGTCAATGTGCATGATAATCAGTGACAGAAATAAATCATTTCATGTGCTCTCAATCCAAGTGTCATGTAAAATTGCCATATGGCTTAATGCAATATTAGGAGTTTGCCCCTTGCCAAGAACAGGTTCGAAATATCTTAACTTTTTGGTATGGAAATCCATTGCTTAGTCATATCTATTTCTAAATCTTCTGTTTGGTGGATAATAGTAAATGAACTTATTCAGTATCTGTTTTCAAAGAAAAAACAGCTGCAGCATGGAAGGGAACATGGTAGGGACAAGTTCAAATACATATTCCAAATTAAAGGAATGTCTAGTAGCACTCATATGATCATATCTTTGACCTTCTTCTTTTATCTCAAGATTGCAGAGCAAACTTATTAGGTTGTTAAGTTTCCTTCTTGGAGTCAGGTATAAGGTAAGTTCTAATATAATTATCCTTCCATGTCACTTCTAAGGAGGCACCGTAATGTACTGCTAAGGAAGCCTTTTGTCTTGACATTGTCATGGTTGTTGAATTAATTAAATCCTAAACTGACAAGCAAACTCATTAAAATCAGGACTTCTGGATCTCCATTGTATTCAATTCAATGTATAGGAAATGGCCTTATTTATTTCTATTTTGTTATAAGCTTCATCATTCTCTTCTTTCCTTCTTAGCCTCTGATTTGCTATTTTCCAAACTCATCGTTTCGGTATTACAGTGGGGGAGGAGGGTGGGGGAAGCCCATAGGTTTGAACACCAAACCTTTGGAGTACCATCTCCTAGGGGCAGGTGGCTCCCAACCCGTGGTTATGTCTTGGATAACTTTCACTTTGAGCTAGGTAAAGAAGCTACATAGGAGAAGCTAGATAGGAGCTTAATCACGTGTTGCCATGCACTGATTGAAGGATATCACTTTTATGTACCTAAGAAAGGATGATCTCCCTGAGTTTATATGCTGCCAGGGGCAGGTGGCTCCCAACCCTTGGTTATTTCTTGGATGACTTTCACTTTGAACTAGGTGAAGAAGCTAGATAGGAGCTTAATCATATGTTTTGCCATACACTGATTCAAGGATATTACTTTTATGTACCTAAGAAAGGATGATCTCCTTGAGTTTATATGCTGCTATTTGAAATTTTCATTTGAACTTTTCTCCCACAAAATTGTTTACTTGTTAGATTAAATTACCTACACTTCAAAAAGGTTATTTTGCATTGTACATTTTCTTGGTTGTACGAGAAAATAGCTGCTCCAAAATTTTTCTTTTTGTATGGCTTGTGTTTAGGATCATGGCAGTAGGTTTTCTTTCTCCCACTTCATCTGTTAAAGGATGGATTTCAGGAAGCATGATAAGGTAGACCTCCATTCTCTAAAAGTTGCAGTGTCACTGTTTTCTTGCTTTCAGGCTGGAAAGGGATACCGGCTCACATGGTCTTTTGCTTGGGGTTTTACCATGTCTCCTTTCTGTTGTACTCATGCCTTTATGTACTTTTATAAATGCTGCCCCATCACATTGAAGCTGGATGTAGGGTCATTTAAATCGTGCCATAGATGCCTAATTTTCCAATCCAAAGTCAGTTTTCATTTTTTGATTGGACATTGTGAATTATATAAAGTTTTCAGTCATATTTTCTACTGCTCAAGCTGTCCTGCATCAACGCCTGGATTAATTAATAAACTTTTTTTTATTGTGAATTATATAAACTTAGTTTATGAATAAACTTCATAGCTCATATGTAATGATGGGTCTAATGAAAAGCACTTGTTTTCTGTCTCTATTCTTCAGTGTCACATATTGGAATTCAAGAATCTGTAGATCTTTGCAGTTGAATGCGGGAAGCATAACTTGCCAGAAGACATTTGGGATGATATAGGTATACTTCTTGATTGCTTTATGGAATGAAATAGAACTGGCATGCATGAAATTTCAGTTGGCATCCTTAAAAGTGATGAGGGCATATGATTTCAGGATATCTGTTGGGTGGCCACTTGCCTTGCAATGCATAGAGATGCCAAGACTTTGCTAATGTCAACAGACTCATCTAATCACAATCTCATCCTGTGTCTGGATGATGGTAAAAGGTAAACCTTAATCTCCTTACATTTCTGGTTTTGGGTCCCGCTATCATTGAATGTGAAAAGATTTTCGATTGAAGATTTTGAGTTAGGTCATGGGAATTTGTTCATGGATTTGTGTCAATATAGATCTCATCTCCTGTGTCTGGTTACATGGAATAGGACACTTGTGTCTGGTTGTGTCTGGTTATGTCTGGTTATATGGAGTAGGACACATGCTTCTTGTCCCACCATTATTCCTTGATATTTGTTCATCTTTTCATCTTTTTTTCCCATATGGCATGCCTTTGAATATTCTAGTACATGTATAGGTGGAGAAACTTCTAGAGTATTATTTCATCTTTTTTTTTTCATTTTTTTAAAAGAATTTTTTTAATATGTGTTTTTAAGGTGCAGATTAATGGGTGTAATTAATACATTTCTATAATTAATTTATATGAAAAGGAGAAGTGTTGACTTCGAATTAATCAATTAACTAATTAAAATCATTCACCTGTTAATGGTATTAAATTAAATATTAATTTTTATAATTTTTTATATAAATTAATTATAAAAAAATACATTTATTATACTCTTAATCTATACATCAAGGAAATAAATTAGATAAACCC